GGCCCGCAGCGCCTCCTGGCCGGGTGGCTAGGGAATTGGCCCTGTGGCTAGAGTGGGGCCGGGCTCGGCAAGGCGTTGTTGCTAGCGGGCTCCAACTGAGATCCCGTGAAGGAGGAAACCCTGGGGGTTCAGATGAAAGCCCATCTGGTTGTTTTTTGTTAGAATGTTTCCTGACTCCCAGACCTTGGTCATTCGGAAGGTTCTTGCGGCGTGGGCCTGTGCCAGGGTGTGTGTAGGTGCCTTTTTTTTTCCCAGCACTTATTAGACAAAAGGAAATAAACAAGATATTTTTTTTTACCCTTGTCTTTTGCATCATTTAAAACCCAAGGCTTTTCAGTGCCACCTCACAAAGTGAGAGGATGGTATATACATTCATGTAATAGAGGACAAATTTGATATTAAAAAAAAACACAACTTGTTTGTTGATGAAAATCAAGTCATTTTCTAAGGCCGGATCTCCCCCTCCCCCTCCCCCTCCAAAAGGACCACCTCACAAAATTTTCCAATTTCAAAAGCTAAGTTTTGCTGGTTCTTTTAACAGTAGTTGGGGGCCCCAAACCCAAGTTTTGATCTTGTTTTCAGACAAAACTTAAATCTCAACTAAAAAAGTGCTTATTTTCTCATAAGCACTTTTATTTCAGCCCATTTTTCTCATACCTACCACAAAAATAAGGGAGACTTCTTTCTGTTGTTCATATCATTCTGTTGAGATACTTCTTGCAAATCAAAGAAAGTGTGAAAGCATGGAAAAGGTCTGGAGTAGAGCCTCTTCAGAGAGTATACTCATTTCCAAGAACAAAGTTTCCAAAGTCAGCCCGTCCCCCAGATGCTCCTATAGAGCATTAAAATAATTCATGACGGAGAATTTGGAAAACATTGGCCACACAGAGCAAATCGGTATCTACTTGAGCAAAAACAGTAGAATCAGAGTGACCAGCCTTCTTGATGGCCACAGTCCATAATGTAGTCAGAATAATTTGTGAGTCCCCTTGCAAGGACAAGCCTGACATATTTGTAAAGGAGACACCAGTGATATGTGTGTCTCCCCTCCAGATGAGCATTTGAAATCTCCACCCTTACAAGAATTTTGATTTACATATAAATTAGAGGCCTGTAATGGACACCCGGCACATTTTGACTTAGGGCCTGGTTACAGTTCATGTGAGACTGCGATTAGTCTAGAATTGGGTGATTAGGGTTTGATTGTTTTAAACCTTTGCTCTAGGAAGTCTCAGTGTTTACATTATTAAAAATTAATGAAACCGGATGAAACAGCGGCACAGCTTTTTATCTTCTGTAGTATTTACCTTATATGGAGAGAAGTTGGCAAATTTTTCCAGTTAAATTTTTTAGGGATCTTCCCTCCCATAAAGCAAGTTGCTTGTGCTATATTTATAGTGATTACAAATTGTTAATATGTACATGATTTCAACTTTTAGCTCCTAAAATAGTTAGATGGACATTGCCTTAAACTCTTTAATTATGAACCTTTTGGGTATCTAGAAAGTACCAATAGACACGTGGTATTTTTCTATAATACTCTCAAATTCGAATACATTTTTATTTACTACTGGCTACTTAAAGAAATAATGCATGTATAGTGCTCCTTATAGTCAATAACTCCAGCATCAACTTTTAAATGATTTTTCTGAAAATTTGTTTTACTTAGCTCTTCTGGGAAAGGGCCTATACTAAAAATCGAGACCCTCTTCATATCTGCATGTAGCAATAATCATAAATGCCAAACTTATTGCAATGTTTATTTAATAGACATTTAAATAGCACTGTGTGCCAAGTACTGTTCCAAATGCTTTTCAAACACTAATTTAATCTTTACAACGAACTGACTTATCATTCCTATTTTGTAGCTTAAGAAACTGAGAGGCTAACTTACTTGACCCTGACCACACATTTTGCAAGTGGCAAACCTAAGATTTGAACCTGACCAGTGAGCTCAAGTTCTTTAACTCACACTAAGCAGTGAGGTCGTACAGTTTCGGCTGCTGCTGGCAGAGGACTTTCCAAGGATGCTCACTGTATTCTGGTATGTTCATCTGCTAAGTCCTCATCAGAATCTACAGCCTGTATCATATTTCCCTTGTTTCTGAGTGGGCCAGCCAAATTCTCTTCAGCTTGTTGGGACATTGGTTGCATAGGGATTGCAACACCATGGAAAGAACAGACAAGATTTGCTCAACTCCAATTCTTGGTTTAAAATGAAAAGTGAGCTATTGCTTCAGTCAAATATTTGTGAGTAGGTATATGATCTCAAAATGTTTCCTTGTGCAACACACAGAAAATGGAAAGGCAGAGTATTTGGCTGTGAAACTATAAGGAACAGCCTTGGCTGGTGTGGCTCAGTTGGTTGGAGCGTCGTCCTGTGCACCAAAAGGTTGCATGTTTGATTCCCGGTCAGGGCACATATCTGGTTTGTGGGTTTGATCCCTGGTTGGGGTGCATGCGGAAGGCAACTGATATCTCTCTCTCTCTGGAACAAAAGAAAAATGGATTTTTAAAAATTGCTTGTAATACAATAAAATTCCTGCCGGTTGTATCCTTAATTGTGTTGTGGGTCATTGAAATAAGCTATTTCTCTGTTACTACCATTACTGTCTAAGAACCAAATTTAGCCTTTTCTTAAGACATTTGTCTCTGAAAGTAAATACAGCTTCGAAGTCTACTTTATAAAAGTGAAATAGGATGGGGAATGGTGTAACAAGTTAGAAATAAACTCTTAGAAAACATTTCTTGGTCAAAACATTTATAGTGTTGATTTATTGTATGCTAGATGTTGTATGCATTTTACAGGTGATAATTCAGTTCATTCTCATGAGAGAACCACATGAGGTGGGCACTGTTATCTTCCTTTTACGAACTGAGGTATGGACAGGTTAGGTAGCCTGATCATGGAGATTGTAAGTAGTGGAGCTGAGATTGCATCCCACTCAGTTTGGCTCCCATGAATTTATCAAGATCAGGGTAGGGACCTGTCACAATTTCCAAGTCTGACAATTGAAGTTCGGACTAGAGGCAAAGAGTGGTTTCCCTTTTCATTGGATATTTTCACCTGAAAATAGTTCCCTGCATAGGTAACCCGCATAGATGCTGATAGAGAGGTACACTTTAGAAGTATTTGAAAGCAGAGAATGAAAAGCTCCTATGTAAAATTGTTTTCAGATAGAGCCTTCTGTTACTCTGCATTGAGATGATAAACTGTATTAAAGAGTGTTTAGAATGAGACTTGGATCCTAAAACAAAATAAACTTTGAGATCCTGTCTTTTTTTATTTTGAAAACCTACTTTAAGATCTTATTTAAATGCCCATCCTTCCCATAAACTCTCGTGGATTCACTCCTTGCCAACAGAGTTAAAATGAACCTATCCCCTTCTCTTTTACTCCCATAAGTTTGGGTTACAGCACTGTTCATGTCATGTATTTAGTTGTGTTTTGATATCATTAACATTTATTTGTCTTCCTTTTGAGTGTATACTTCTCCAGGAGGAGGTCTTTGGTTCATTCTCCCCAGTCCTTAATTCAAGCCTTTTGATATGGGATATGGAAGATGTTCAATAAATGCTGACTTGAACGAGTCAAACAAAGAGAATGGGAAACTAATGTTTGTTTTCTATATTGTAAAAGAATTAAAATGATGGTATAATTATAGAAAAAATTAGAAATAGAGTTGTTGGAGAAATAACTGTAGTTAAGGTTAGGTTTATGATTGAGAAATTTTAGTACATACTTAAATTATCTAGGCCTGCGAACTTTGTTAGAACAAACAATTCCGATTCCATTCAGTTTCATTTCTCTTTTTGAGGCAGCTGTGATTTGAGATACTTTCACATTCATGTACTCTGATTTGCACATTAATTTATTTTTAAAATAAGAATGAGATAATTCACCAAGTAATTTAGAATTTAAATACTTTTTAGAAACCAAAATAACCTTCATGTATAGGACCTTTTATTCAATATCTAT